TTGCCAACAAGGGGGCTTCGGAATGGAGCATAAAAATGAGCAATAAAATTGAACAAGGAAGCGTTCAAGGTACACTATGGCTATGGATTTCCCAACGAAGGGGACCGCATTTGACAGTTGAGGAGGGGGGGGGTGGAGTCGTAAGCAGAGAGTCTGAAGTTGACCTGAATTTCAGTGGGTGGACCATGCAGCGCCCCATACTCATAGTACGCGACACAACCGCAGATATTGGACAGATACATTGACAGCCTGAAGAGGGGGGGGGGTATGGACACTACATCTCGAAGAGGGATCTTGGCGTCCAACGATTTTCCGCAACGTAATGCTTGACCCTAGGAGGAGGTGCCTGAGGATGAGCCTTGCTAAGTCTCGTTAGCGTGCCTGAAAGTCGCCGAATGGCGGCTGCTTAGAGACCCCGCACCCGTTTCTTTAAATCTAGTCAAACTATCCGCCCCACTGGCTCCAACCCATACTGACAGCGAAGTCAGGTTACTCAGCAGCACCTTTGCAGTTCAGCGGTTTTCACAAGGTCTTTCTGATCTCTGCTCCAGCCCTCGTTTTTATGATTACGTGGGTTGCAATGTTAAAAACCCACGGCAAAAATGCGAAAAGCGGGCCCCGGTAAATTGGTACCTGTGCATGAGCCAGTGGTTTTCAAGTATCATTAAGGCCAAGCCGCGCTATGAATCCTGTTCGGAACGCTATTGGCGTTATCATTAGGTACAACAGCCTTCTTTATTGCGGATGGAGGGACGTATCAGGGAGGAGGAGGAGGCGAGGAAGCTGGGTTTGGCGCGACGCCAGGCCGTCTTCCACCAATGATCTCGCTTGTCTTCTTCAACAGTAGGTGGAGAATGAGCTGTCGCACAACCTCCCTGGAACGCCCCAGCAAACAAAGCTGTACGCCCAACTACTACTACAGGGAGATATTAGGTCGTTGCAAAAGAAATGCAGGATTTTGTTTTTTTGTATTTAATACTTATTTTATTCCAATAAAATGTAAGTGTTATATATCATTCGAAAGCTTATCTAATGCTCTTTCTAAATGATACTTCAAGATTGGTTGTAATTCTTTTTAGAGGCCACAAAATCGTTGAAGGCGTTTTTGACATCGTCTTGGTTTTTGAAGCATTTCTCTTTAAGATAGTTGTCCAGATGCTTGAAAAAGTGGTAATCGGTGGGCGACAGGTCTGGTGAGTATGGTGGATGAGGCAGAGTTTCATAGCCCAATTCGTTTAACTTCTGGAGGGTCGATTGTGCGACGTGTGGTCGGGCATTGTCGTGGAGAAGAATAGGTCCCTTTCATATTGACCAACCTTGGGCACATGCGTTGAAGCTTCTTCGATTTGTTGACAGTACTTCTCTGCCGTAATTGTTTCACCAGGATTCAGGAAGCTGTGATGGATGAGACCGGCGGCAGACCACCAAACATGAGGTTCATCTTCAAGGCTGGTGTTGCCAGAACGAAACTTCTGGAACCAACGTTGGACCGTACATTCGTTGACACTTCCTTGACCCCAAACTTCGTTAATGTTTCGAGCTGTCTCGGCAGCGTTTCGGCCTAGCTTGAACTCATAGAAAAAAATAGTGCGAAATTCACGTTTTGACATCTGCAATAAAACGTCAATAAAAATGATAATAAAAAGAATTACAACCAATCTTGAAGTATCATTTAGAAAGAGCATTAGATAAGCTTTCGAATAATATATAACACTTCATATTAAAGTAACATTTTATTGGAATAAAATAAGTATTAAATACAAGTAAATATAGTAAAAAAAGTATTGACACAAAAGACCAAAATCCTGCATTTCTTTTGCAACGACCTAATATTTGTACCTACTCTTACTGATAATCCACTGTCACTATATGTTGTTGCCCGTCCTTCTGCGGACTGCTGACAAATCTTTTATGACCTATACTCGAAATCCCTGAGATCGGGTAGGCGGGGCATTCGAACACTGTACGGAACTGGTTACTAGTGGAATATTCCAGTCTGGGACAACTGTCATCTTGTTCTGCGTTGGACAGAGACACGACAACAATTGTGTCGAGATGAAAATATGGCATCAGAAGCGTAGAAGCCTTAAGGGTAAGTTGAAACATGCGGCCACGCCTACCCGATCTCAGGGATCTCGAGTGTACACACACCGCTATTTGCAAATATACGCCTAGGTATGACTGAATGCTTCTAGTTACACATTGAAGACGTCGTTCTTCGACAAATATGAAAAGGTTCCACTTAAGCGATTGCGTAGTGCTTTTCTAACTGTATCGCTTTCCCTCTCAGACATCCTGTTTACCTCTTCAAAAATCACGGGATGAGCTTTAAGCCGTTTCCTTTAGTGGACCTGGTGGCATTTCTTGCCATGAACATCATTCGGCAAACGTACGGCTACCAGGGACGGTAGTAATTTGTCTAAATCTCGCAATCAAATGTGATGAGTTGCTCGCAGTTATGCAGAACAACGAGCGATGTATGAGCGAGGCAACCACGCTGGAAACAACGAGCTTCGCTAGGCTATTTGCAAAACTTCGCTCAGCGGTCGGTATCGATCTCATCACCATGCGAGTGGTAGCGCGCACAATTGTCGCTACGCTAATCATTAGTATGCCGACTTAGCGGCGGTCCCTGGTAACAAGCAATGAACTGAACATGGCAAACAGTTATGTTTTCAGTCAAATTAGTTAGTCAAATTTTCATTTTTTTATTCTCACCTCCATCCCCCTAGTCGATTAGGGTAATCGGCTACATCATTTCATATTCTAATGGCACATCTTTATATGATATTTGCATTTTTTTCTAATCACCCCTTGTACCCGTTTTACTAGAAAATATTTCACTTTTTTCAAAGTTTCTCTTCAACTGTGCAATGGATGGCCACGCCCTCCCCACATCTCGATTTACATTCCCTCGGGCCATCAACCCTACCACCCACTTTTGTCCTCCCCGCTATACCTAGGCCTGTGATCTAAGCATTTCTGGACTTGGAAAGCTGTTGAAGAACCCCCAACTCGCACCACAGAGATGGCCATCTTTGAAAAGTCCTCTGGAGGACTTTTCACTGCACAGAACGGCGACTATCTGCGTCTCTCCGTTTCGCGTAATGTCTCCACCCTCGTGGTTGAGAACTCAAGTGCGACATCATAACGTCGCAGTTCAACGGAGGATAGCAATGTTCACCTCAGGTCGTGGTAACGACCACCCAACCTCGACCTTTCTTAATAAAGTCTCTGGAATAGGCGTTTTGGACAGTCGTCCTTACCGCGAGCTGATGGTTACCTGTGAACTGCCAGTTTATGCCACATTACTACCGTCCCAGTTCTTATTCATTCCCGTTTCCAGGGTAACGTGCTCCTGCGACAGACGTTTATGTATGTAATCATGAACTTCCCTCATAATTACACCTTCAAAATCGCAGAGTACCTGACTTAATGACTTGTTACACATTAGCTTAAAAGAGACTTAGGCCAAATAAGAGAAATTGAGGTGAAGTGAGAAGTACTACAGTCTCCCAGTGAAACCAGAAAAATGACTTCTTGTATGAGGACTGTGTTTAGTGGCTGAATATATTGCTTTTCATATTCTATGGCCTTTCTAGACTTAGTCCAACGGCAGCGAAAAATGAAACTTCACATCCTCTGGACGTGACATTTCCCAGCAATAAAGGCATAAGGCACGATAACTAATAACCGGTAATCGGTCTAAAATGGTAGCACTATTGCCATATAGTGAGGAAAAACGGCGAAAAAGCGAAGTGAAACGGTTGAAAAACTACAAAGAAAACCTTTGCTCTAGACGACTTAGAAAGCAGTTTCGGACGAGTTTCCTGCTAGCATAGTGGCAGTAACCGCTACGCTGGATACTTCTGCATATATGTATGTACTCTTTTATCCATTCAGCACCGCAGTTGTTTCATGTCAATCCCTTTGCCTCATATTGCACTTCTCATTAGGAGCGATAGCATCAGCATCGAACGTAAATTTGTGAGCGGGCGAGCGCGGTGGGCGTCCAGGTCGGTATGTTTCAGCTTGTAAGAGCGCTATAAAAGTATCTTCCTTGAAAAAAGCGCCAGGCAACATCCGCACAGGAGCTCGGAACCTGTTAGGCGTGTTAACCCTACACGTCTATGGGATTTGTCGGGCCACATGCCCTCAAGATAATCGGTCTAGATTGGTAGCAATGGTGCCATATAGTGGGAGAATGGCGAAAAAGCGAAGTGAAACGGTTGAAAAACTGCAAAGAAGCCCTTGCTCTAGACGACTCAGAAAGCAAATTCGGACGAGTTTCCTGTTGGCACAGTGGCAGTAACCCTACGGTAGATACTTGCTTCGTTGGCGAAGCAAGTATCTACCCACCCCCCCCCCCGATGACGAAAAATTGCTCACAAAAATGTTCAATGTTCAGTCAGGATGGCAGAGAGGGAACCCCACTTTCCGCTATTTCTCTAAGCTGATCAACAATTTCTTGGTTAGATTTCTCCCATTTGTTCCTACCACACCCAGTACCTTCAATCAGCCTCCCACTCAAAATTTATCCCGTAAAGACAGATCCAAATCTTACCAGCTGTTGGCAATTCTGTTCAAAATTGGAAATGAGAGAATCAGGACTTCGCAGTGAAGAAAAAGGTGAAAGAAACGACCGAAAACGCAAAACAAGCCTCCCAAGATTGGACGAGTTCTCTGAACTGACTCATGCCAACAAAACGATACTGTTGAAAAGGTCAGCTGTGTGCATCCCCTGGCTCACAATTGTGTTGCTTGTGCACGCTAAAATTTGGTGCAAAGCGGGCTGGCGCCAGACCAAACCCAACCCCTGACACACCCCAGCTGACTGCAGCGAAAACAGTTGTTTATGAAGGGAGCTCAGGTCTTCCATTTTTTCAAACTTTACAACATTCATTTGCAATAAATAACCACATAAATAAACAATGTATACAATGAATCACTGTAAAAATTGCCTGTTTACAGTGACTAGGTGAAATGACTTTGATAAATATTTAGCAATGATGGCAACTTTTTTGACACTTTGTCTTCATATAGTCTCTGAATATCAGCTGTGTACACATTCCATTACTTGCCCATCGTTCACACCACGATCTAAACGATTTAATTATACGTTGATTCTAAATACACTCCATATCCCGGCGATGGAGAGGGCGTAGTACTCCGTCTGAACATATGCGCGGCTGCGTTTTTTGCGGGAGGCTGCTCAGGACAAGTGCCATCCTGTCTCATGCTGAATGAAGGAATGAGTACAAATGTCCTTTAACGACAACGTCTAACCCAAAAGCGCAATCGTCGTCACGTTCAAAAGAAGTTTGCAGCCATGCCTTCCCCATCCCCGGGATACGGAGTGCAACTGGAAGACCTGGCAAAGAAATTGTACCGAGAGTCTTCACAGGGAGTAGTAGCAGTAGTAGGAGTAGTTGTAGTAGTAGATATGGAATCTCCGCAAACATCGCAGCTCTTCGCGCAGTACTTGCGCATGAAGTGTTCGCTGAACCTCGATTGACAATGGCCGGCACGAGAGAGAAACTCGCAGTCGGAACGTCTATAAAGTTCCACGTCAATATTAGGAAGAAAAATTATAATACAACACTGAATTTAGTAGATGCAGCAAGTAGTTAAAGGGACGATTCACACTGAGCTTGTGGGTCAGGCCTATCATTTTGTGTTCCTTGTGGGAGCATCCATCCTAGCATCAATTTTGTTGCAAAGGAAAGGCAAAATGTCAGGTTTCTCTGCAGTCATACCGCTGAAGCCAGTCGGGGCTTTTCGCCGCGCGTGGGTTTTGGCGCAACGCCAGCCGTTCTCTCAATTGTTGCTGCTTGGAAACTTCTTGGGGGGAGAGGGGACGGCCGCTATGTGATGGCGACTGTATGTCTGTGAGACTATATTCCCTCTGAGCCAACCGAAAAGGAGTGGGCAACTAACATCTGACTGTAGCTAGGCGTATGGCTGGTCGTGCAGCGTGATGCGTGTCTGAGGGTGCGTTGCTGGCAGGCAGGGTTACAAAAGAACATCTGGCTATCACAACCCTTCAACTTTACTACCATCTACTCCCAGTGCGCCAAATGACATCCTTTTACAGGTGCGAACCCGCCCACTTTGCCCCTGGAAAAAGCTGGCCTCACAGAAAATCGTGCATTGCATTTCTACTGAGGAATAACAACAAGCTGTGATTCTATAAGTTGGTTGAATCGTGGGCGCTGTTTATCGACGGGGGCATTCTGCTTTTCATAGATTTGCCAACCCATCTAGGTACCCTTTTTTCGAGTTGACACGTTTTAGGATGGTGGCTAGACGATCTTGCTCCAGCTTCACAAGCGTTCACAAGTTTTACCAGAGTGAGATTTGTAAACCGGAACCAGGGAAGCAATTATAATACAAAATGCCCCCCCCGTCGATAACAGCGCCTAAATTGTGCAGTGAAAGCATCTGAGATGGTGCTGGGGAAATTGAGTTTATGCACACTGTCACACGCAAGACTGGGCAGTACATTGCCATACCTGTCAGAACATGTTTTAGTGAGTATTTGAAGCAGCTCGCTCTCTGTGGTAACTGTAGGGCTACTTGTCACGAGAGTAGCATCAACATCATCTGGATCCGTTGTTGACGTTGAACTTGACGTATCCACTTCCGTTTTACTTCCTATCATCGTCTTTTGCAGTGAGCTCGGTGGTGTTTCTGGTAATATTCTGACAATATTTAAAATTCTCGGAAAATACCACAAATGAGATCAGCAGTACGTAGTTAATTATTACTATCTGACATTTTTATCAAAATTAGCTGATGACGTAAAACAAGGTAATGACACAATCGTTAGTAATTTCCTTTTTTTGACAAAAACCTTAGTATTTTCTTCTTGCTCAAGAAACTGCTGTCATTATCAATGAAGACAATCGAAAGTCAGCGATGCGTGGGTCTTGGCGCAGCGCCAGCCTGTTTCCCATCGGTCGTTGCGTATGAGAGCATTAAATGAGTGATGGGAAGAAAGCTAGCTCCGTTCGAACTCATGCGCGGCTGGCACGCCCCGGATAATTTCGGTGATAACAGCGTTTCTCCTTCGAAGCGTGTAATCGAAAACCATTCTGCCCGTGCGTCGCGTGGTTCGAGGCACGGTGCACCTTATATCGCTAGGATAAGGCAAAGATTGTAAGTAAACTGGTAACTCACCAGACTGAGGGCAATTATACAACTTATTAATCTTGTACAAATCCAGTTCACTGAATCCATGGCGCTGCCCAATTTCGACACCCTTCTTTCGTGGCTCTATCGTTGGTTTTCCGTTCTGAAATTCTTTGATCTAATTGTGTAGAAGATGTGTTTCCCTATTTTGCTAACCTTACTGAATGCAGTTGGTGCATAGTGCATTACTGATCCGTAATCATATTCCGTATCAAGATGGTTTACCATATTCAAGGAATACTTGTCAAATTGGTCTGTAATATAAAGTTTTCATAACAATTGCTACTGGGGGTGTTTCACACGTTCCTCGTTAACCTTGAAGGCCGGATTCGACGTTGTTCCAGTTGATAATTACGTGATCATCACGATCTGCTCGACCTGAAAATACAATTGCAGGAGGAGAGGATAGACTTTTCATGTCAATCAGGGTCCTTTTTGGGATGCATAAGCCAAATCATGATTTCTTTGGTTTGGGATATGGCCCATCCAACAACGAGGTACGTCCTGCTGCTGGGAAAATTTTTTGCAAAATACGACCCCATTCTAATGTCGCTCTTTTGGTACGACCTCACTTCGACATCCCCATTCTACCTATCATCTCCTCAAATTTTCTGATTACCTACCATCTCCTCAAATTTTCTGATTTTTCCCTAGATTTTCTAAACACGAATTTGCAGGTGCTAATAGACTTATTGGTGGATAGAGGAACCGTAGAATCCGTTCGATACGCCAGTCTATCTTGTGCGTTAGACGTGTATGCGGTGAATAGAGACGCAGAGACGCTCAGCAAGAGGCTAGACCATGGCAGGAGATGTTGCAAAACGCAATCTTCCTTCGGAAGTTCCTTCTCTGGTACGATCTCTTTCCATACCCCACTGTACCTGCCATCTTCCTGAACTCTCCCTAAATTCTACCACTCAAAGTCCGAAGAAAGTTCCTTCGTCCTCCCCAAAAAAAACTACCATCAAATGAAGGGAGGTGGGTGAGGTACGCAGCGCGCTCCGAACCGGGGAAAGCACCAAGGGAAAGTCAACAGCCGGAAACATTCATCTTAAAAGAATGTGCTCATTTTTTTTCCAAATAAATCCTCTTTCCCGGGGTTCCACAGAGTAAGCTGTGCCCGAATTACGCAGGGCGTTCGATGTACAGTGCAGTGTTTTATCCATTCGGCCAAGTGTAGTACTAATTAACCCACCACTAGGTATGTTTGACTAGAATTGAGCAGACCCAAAATTTCACCCCTAGACCATATGCGAAATGAGCGACGCCATTGGACACCACATTACCCCTCCAACAACGATCATACTGTATTACTAAAGAAACCATCATTCGTACTTGAAGGCAGTTGGCACGATGGTTCTCTACTTAGCCTAAAATGCTAGTAGGGCGCTGTGTAGTGGGAAATGGCGAAAGAACGGAGTGAAACGGTCAAAATCCTGCGAAGAAAAAGCCTCCGTTCTCAGTGACTTGTAAATCGATTTCGGACGAGTTTCCCGTAGGCATCTTGCCAATCACCGCTACCGAAGATACGGCTGCATATGTGTACCCATGTATGCATGCAGCATCACGGCCCTTCGCTTCATAATATGC